GAGATCATTTTTCTCAGGAAAATCTGCGTCTAGTGTAGAGTGGATAATTTTTTTCTTGGAAGTGAAGGAAATCCTGTGAAGCCATCTTTTTTCTGAGTTCCCCCTTTGGGCTGGGGTCTGTGAAGGCACTTTTGCACAGGCAGCTCCTTTAATTCTCAACACAACTTTGGAAGGCTGATAATACTCTTTTCATTTCTACAGTCGGGGAAACTGGAAATTTCTGGGGCAATGTAACTTGCCCCAGTTCCCAGTGTGGGAAGCAGAATCCAAAGCCAGGCTTCCTGACAGCAAAGCCGCAAACTCACCATGCATTGCGCCTCCAATCTTTAATCAAGCTCGTTTCATCTCAATTTGAAAAATCTTTTTCATTTCTCTAAGTGTCATGTGTTGGACATATATTTGACAATTGTTTAACTTCAGTGTATTGACATTTACGTTCTTTCTTAATAGAATAAGTGTGTCAATACTTAGGATTAAGTTCTTTATGATGGATTCTTTCTTACACACATCTCATAAAATCTATATCATATTGGTCAGTGAACATTACTGGGGACCATTTGGACTCAAAGTATGGCAGGAATGAATATGTAGAAAGCAGTGTAGATTTTTTTTTTATCAAAAAAGGGAAAGAGATTCTGAAGCAATGTTAAAATAAATATGATACCACAAAATTTTGGCTTAATACTGACTCATCAAGAATCCCAGGAAAATCTCACTTCAATTTACACCTAATCAGTAAGTCTTGGAATGCTGTGGCAATTTCTCATTTCTAATAACAAGTACGTTAAATTTTAGAAAGGCAAATATATATTGTTGCAATCCTTTCTTAAGGGGGCTCTGAAAATAAAATAAAACAAAATAAAATCTCAAACCATGAGCAACCTGTTTGACTTGGTCAAGTAACAAATGTCTCACTATTCCTGTGTTTTTCCCAGTGACCATTTGTAGATCTATAACACAAGGTATTGTCCATCTTTTGAGCCCCTTGGCCTAATAACTTACTTTGTAGCATCAAGGTACAGCTGCAAAACCAAACCTCATAGTTTCCCAATACTTTTCTCTATAATCACAGTTTGGGTGGTTTTGAAGCTTCAATCTATGCCTTTTCTGTGTGTTCAACTTTCTGTTACAGGACTGTCTTAATATGGGGGATGAGGTAGGGTAGGCGATCCCCTTATTTCCCCCCCCCCCACAAAATGGTTTATTCATTAAAATCCATAACCACTGTGTAGAGGATTTTAAAAAACACTAGCAATCCAAACCCTCTTCACTTAACTGAATCAGAAACAAGGCTGATTCCATGCCCATCCTGCCAAGGGAGCATTTCCTTCTCTTGGATTTTGCCTTTTGAGAACAGAGGCTTCTGCCTTCCTTCCTGCAGGGTGGTAACACTCAGCAGGGAGGGGTTTCTCAATGGACAGAGCAAGGCCTCCACTAAGCACTTGCAGCTTGCTGGGTACCTTTGAAAGCTGGCTGAGGCCCTCCATGGAGTCCTCTCTGGCTTCCACAGGAACCTTTTTCCAAGCCTGCTCTGAGCAAGATGCATTTAACTGACCCCATTCCTTTTAACAACTGAGCATGACAGCATTTAATAGCCTTGCAAAGACTGTGCGGGGTTGCACGGCTCTGCCTCATTACTCACTGTTGCAGGACGGTGCTTGAGTCCAATATGCACATTTGAGTCATGTCATGCCTGGGAACCCAACCACCCTTTTGTCCTAGCACACCTTCTTTCAGCTTATGTCTTGTTTTGATATTTGTTTTATTTAATTGGGTTACCCCGTTCTGGCGGCTGCCTTGTTCTGCATGCAGAAGATGGAATTCTTCTCCACATGTGGCTGGCCATAGCACCTGCCACAGTGACAGCTTCACTTGAGAAAGGCAGAAGAAATGTGTGTGACCACTGCCCCTTTGGAGAAGGATGCATTTTCAAGAGGGGAACATGTAACGAGATGTAAATGTTTTCCAGTGGCGTACAGCAGGGCCACCAGGGAGTGGAATGGCTCAGGCAGCTCATTCCAGGGAGGGTATCCCCCCAGGCTCTGGGTGACAGGAGCAAAGTCTCCCGGAAAAATCGGCCAAGCAGGATGCTGCTCCCCTAACAACAGCTGGGAAGCAGCTCTCTGTTAAGAGGCAGGAAGATGAAGGAGAGAAGCAAATGGACCCCCACCATTTCTCTACCATCACCAAAAAGCCTGTTAAAAGGGACATGACAATTCTGAGCACCCCGAAGAGGTGCTTTATCCAGCCTATTCCCTGATGTGAGCAGCTTTACAAAAAGCAAGCAGGACTCCCAAGTGTTCTGCTCAGAGTAGTGAAAACAGCCACAAGCACTTGTAAACACAACAATTGGGAGCGAGGATGTTCCTTCGTCTGTAATGATTGTTTATGTTAGAGAGCTGGCTGCCACGGCGGTTTGACAAATGCTCCCACTTCCGTGGAGATAAAAGGCAAGCATCTGTAATCAGTGAGGAGAGTGTGTTCGTTCTGGGGCTAAATGGCATTATAAAACTTCCTAATTAAGCATATACGCCAATGAGTTTTTAGCATCATTTCTCCAATTTAGCTTTACATACTGGGCTCGCTGTTTCGTACAGCGTTAACTATAAACATTGTTGTTACTGCCCCCAGCTGGAAAACAGAGCAGTTTATGTGTGAAAGAAAAAAGAGATTATCTCCCATCTGCTCCTGCCCATTATTCAGGAATATGTCATTTTGTCTGCTGATGGGACCATCACCAGGATTTTAGTCAAATGGCCTTTTTATACTTGGCTACGTTTATTAATTATTGTGTTTACTTGATGTGTTGCTCCCATTCTTAATCCCACAAATTTAGTCATATCATTTTCTGGAGTTTTTTTGAAATTAGATTAATTTATATGTGTAATTTTTGTTCTACAAATATACACAACTGTAATTAGACATAGTTGGTGCCTATTTTTAATTGTATATCAACTTTACTCATATATGTTTGGTTAATATGCCTGAGGTTAGGAGGCATACAATTAAAACGGGATGGAGCATGGTGTGATTCAATTTATATAAAGGACAAAACCAGGCAAAGCTAATTAATGCAGATAGACTTCAGGTCAGTGTTTACCCTTGGGGCTACGTGACCCTCCTAGAAGGGCCCTGGAGGTGGGAGGGGAGATTGGGGGTGTTAGAAATATTCTGTGCCTGATGTGGGTGCTGCTTACAGGGGCTGTTGAGTTAGTGAAAATCTGTTGAGGTGTTCACTCATGATATGTGCTCTCTTCTGAAAGTATGTTATCTTTCAGTAAAAAGTAAAAGATAGATGGACCATCTTCCACATAAAAAGTCAAAAAGAAGAGCCTACACAAAGGCAAATTATGATTGATTCACCCTCCCCCTCCCCCCCCACCCCCAAAAGTGGCTAAACATAAAAGAGTTCTTTCTACATCTATAAAGGTAATTTACTTAGGTAAATGAAAAGGTCGATATGCAACTCCTGCTGCATTTTCATAGAGAAGATACAGATAGCCTTCTATGTAAAATTGAATTTAATATATTTTGTTGAAGCTTGGGTATTTTCTTGCTTTAAACAGACTTAGAAATTATCACGATCATAGTATACTTGGACAGTTTGTCAAACTGTGCCCTTTTCTGCTTCCCTAAGTCCTTTGTTCTGAATGATTAATTATAGAAAAAAATTAGGAGCAATAATTGAGGAGTAGAGAATTACGTATTTCCTTCCTTCCTTCCTTCCTTCCTTCCTTCCTTCCTTCCTTCCTTCCTTCCTTCCTTCCTTTCTCTTTCTTTCTTTCTTTCTTTCTTTCTTTCTTTCTTTCTTTCCTTTCTTTCTTTCTTTCTTTCTTTCTTTCTTTCTTTCTTTCTTTCTTTCTTTCTTTNTCCTTCCTTTCTCTTTCTTTCTTTCTTTCTTTCTTTCTTTCTTTCTTTCTTTCTTTCTTTCTTTCTTTCTTTCTTTCTTTCTTTCATCTTTCTTTCCAAAAGTAGTCTGATCCATGAAACAACATCAGGCAGCCACTACATTACTGAAGATAGGCTCCATCATTTGAGAGAAACAAATGCCAAACCTAGTAGAATTTTTCTTAGCAAATGCTAAGATGTGGAGCTTTACCTAGAGATCATTTCAGAAATGTTAAGTGGAGGGGAAAAGTTCCCTAGGATTTCTCTGAGTTCATTGCTCACATCATCAGAAACCATTCTGCCTGTGGATAACTTAAAGAGACACAAACAATGCCCCTTGAAGGAAATGCCAGGGCAGTTGACTGGAATAGAAAATGATAGGATAGAATTCTTAACCCAGTGAAAAAAATTGATACCTCCCAGAGTCCCTTTTGCTTAACCAGATAAGCCAGCTAATAATCTGACAGTTACAAAATACTGAAAAATAAATTCATGCAATAGCTAGTACATAAAGGGATTTCTACGGGGAGATAGGTAACAATAAAACGAAAACAAAACAAAACAAAAAGGTGGAGAATTTGAAAACACAAGCTTACCAACACACACAATGCATTCTATAGCTCTTTGTTACTTGGAGGAGCTTCTAATACTAATAACGTGTAAATGCATTGTTTCATCCATCTAATAAGGTTAAGGTTGGGCTTGATGACTTTAAAATGACAGTATATAGTTCTATAGAACATATACTAAGGTACTATTGTTCTTCCATTTGTTAAGGGACAGAAGAGCACTAGAAATCATTGTTTTAATTGGCAACATCAGGAAAATGCTTTGGCATTAACACTAAATATACTGTCCTTTTAACTGTAAGGGAAATTGATACTGAGCATGTGCAATGGAAAGAAAGCTGGCAAATGTCAGTGTGAATAATGGGTGAAAAAAAGGAATGAGGGGGTGTGGCATCTCAATCAAGATTAAAATGAAACTGATAAAGCAGCATATGGACTGGATAACAAATCAAAAGCATGTTTATCCACTGAAGGAACTGGTTAATGGAGACTGCCAGCACGTTGCCATGGAAACACTGACTGTTGAGCTGCACCATCTCATACCTTATCCAATACATTCCTGGTTGTTGGTAGTAGTCCAAAGACCCTGATCTCTTGATGGTAAACCCGTGGTCCAGCTGAGCAGAGAGAAATGGGGGCAACTCAGTGGATCGACATTATGCTAAAGAATTAAGACTCCAGACCAAGCTCTTCTTCATTGACTCTATATGAATATATAGTTATGATGCCTCTTCTGCTGGGTGACTAGCTAATATGCTAACTCTGCACATTGAAAATAAAAAGGCAAGAAAGACACTAATCCCTCATGAATATCCTGGAGGCCAATTGGTTAGAAAATATCTAATTTGTCAAACAAGTTTTTGAATGCACATTTAACAATGTCCTTTCAATTTCAAAAGATACAAACATTTCTTCATATTCTATAGAATGGAAAATGCTTTATAATTCAATAAAGTATTGAAATCAGCTTTAGCCACCTAAGAGAAAGCAGATTGGACCCCAGAAAATTATACCCCATCAGGCTTAAATTTGAGGACTTCATAAGTACGAAATAAAAGATGAAAAAAATCAGGTTTTAGACCCCCACAATCAGAGCAACTTAGATTTCTTTAAGAGTTAATCTCCAAAAACAGAGTTAGGCTTAAAGAATAAATTACATTTCTGAACTAAAAAGATATAGTATAAAACAGTCAATATTCTCTGTGAAAATATAGAAAATTAAAAAAAAATAGTTTTCACTGCATATTCATATGTACAGTTAAGTGCTATGATTAACAAAAGGTACAATAAATAGAAGAGAGGATAATAGGTTCTCAAAGTTGTTCATCCTGGAATAAGATGCTAGCCTTTGGGCTACCTAGGAATAAAAGATTCAATCCCCAAATTTGAAATACAGTAATCATGTTGTGCGCCCACTCCTCCATCTGCCCATGATAGGACTCAAGTTGCACACCTTTCTTTACAGAAAGGCCCATGAGTGCTTTTATGTGTGGTATTGTTGTGATGCTGATGGCTGTTTCTACTTCTAAATTCGCAAAGGCATTTCAAAATGATGCCAGGGCACCTGGCGTTTAAACTAAACACTGCTCAGGAGATTTGGTATTCTGATGATAAACCAGCTTCTCCCAGTGTTCACGAAACAGCCATGTGAGATTTTAACCCTTTTAAAAATGTACATTTTGTTTTCTTTAGGAAAAAAATTGGAAGTACGCTTGCTGTTCGAGGATGAAGGCCTGCCCTTGTTTCAGTCCGCGAAGATGGCTACTTAGGATGTACCTAGTTCTCTGCTGCCATCTACAGGCAAAAAGTCCTGTAACACCGCATCCGGAACGCCCTGGGGCAAAGGTCCCTCCCTTTAGAGCTAAGCTTCCCAATATCACAATTATTTGCACACTGATTAGTATGGATTTGTTCCATTAGGCTAAAATGCTGTATTTGCATGAGAAAAATGCAAAAGAAGAACTTTAAAGCATTTGGAAAATTATCGGCTAAAATAATAAACAGCATTAAATGAGGAAAAATAAATTGGAACTGACATCTTAGTCATCGGTTCTTCATCAAGCTGAGCAAATCTAATAATGCCTCCCTCCCTTCCCTTAGCTCTCAAGAAGTCCACCGTTAAAATGTCATCTCTAATTCCATTTTATGTCTATAAATTGCGTTTTAATAACCTTTTGTTTCCCTTTCTCTGTTCTGTTTTTTTTCTGTTTTTTTTTTTTTAATCCCCCAACTACTGGTAAAGGTAGCAGAGGGACAATGGAGTCTTTCTGAGAGGCAGAATGTTGTAGTTGTAAGGACAGCATGGGTTTCCACCTAATTACGTTTGCCTGACCTAAATGTCAGAACACCTTTTCTCCTTTTAGAAAGACCCGACTATCCCTGTGAGTCTCCAGCTGGTAATTACTCTCCTAGCCAACTCAAGGACCTCTTGCAACCTTAATATAAAGTTATCATTTGTCCTTTCTTTGGTCTTAATAATGTAGGGGGTGGGAAGTAGAGAAGAAAAAAATGACAACACGAACAAAAAACACTAAAGTTGAGAACCACGAGTGCATGTTAAACGATGCTCGTGCCATAAATTATACCTGTGACTAGAGTCTGTTTATGACAGTTTGCTTTTTTTTTCTTTGTCACTCTGAGAAAGAAAAAAATGTCATAAATGCCTTTATAAGCATCATTAATCTCCAGCAGGCAAGTTTCTAACTAAAAACAGATAAATACCAGTTAAAGACTAATTATTTAATTGTTGATTTTCTGAAAAAAAAAACAAGCTGATTGATACAATATTCTAAATAGTTGGGTTTGTATTTTTTAATTTTAAAGGGTGTGTAGAATCTCCAAAAACTTCAGTCCTAGGATTGAGGCAGTTTAAAATAAAATATAGTACTTGATAGCCTCTGGGGAGTACATACATGCCCATAGGAAAAAATTCTGGCTGAATGAAATTCATGCTGAAATCAGTTTTTTTTGATAGCTATCAAATTGAAGTTATTACAGTATTACATTAATTACAAGAATTTCTATCAGGCAGGTGAATTAATATTGCATTATTAAATTGTCAAACGGTCTCTACAGAATGCAGCACTTATAAAGGCTGTTCCTTCTACCCACCACTTAGATTCTGCCTCACGGAAGAGCATTGTTCCTTTGCAGTTCGACTTTAGTTTCAGTTGGAATATTATTTAATTCCAAAGCTCATTTTTTCCTGTGCTAGTCCTCCGAGACTTAGTCTTTGCACTTTAAGGACGGGAATTGTTATCAGGTATGAGTATAAATGGACTTATTCAGTACTATTCTGAAGTTAATAACAAAGGCAACTAAACCGGCTAGTTTCTAATTCCCAGCCCCACCCTGGGACTGGTGACCCATCCCCCAGGTTCTTCTGGAGAGTGTAGACATTTATGAGGAAAAGGCATTCTGGAGAAGGTGCACAAATGCATATATGATGGCAGGGCATCGGCTAAAATAATATAGAGTGATATTATCTTTCATGCTTGAAATATTAACAATAATAGTCAACATGTGAACTGCGCTTTAGAGTTGGCAAAGCACTTTTTCAGATATTTGTCCAAAAAGCCAATTATTTTGAGTCTAAGTTAAGTTGATAATTATTCTTTTTTAAACTTTTGTAGTAAATAAAGAAGATTAAATAAGCAAGTAGCTAATGTTTAACTCAACATCACACGGCTCATTTTACAGTTTTATAAGTCTATTACCAGTTTGTACAGTTTCCATGGAAATATGTTAGTGATGAACTGAGAAACTGATATTAAATTGCTTCAAAATGGTCCAATCATGATATTTAGGGGAAAATAAATCAGTGGACCTTTGATCTTCAAATACTAACTGAAGTTTGTTGAGTTATTAAAAAGATGAAGTTTTAATAAACTAATATGGATTAGGTTTTGGAATGTATCCAGGTTTGGTTAAAGGATTTCCCCTCATCTCTGTGTTGTCTGTCCACTGGAAAATTGCCCTGAAGTTCCTGCCCGTAGTCATTAAAGGACTCTTAGAGTACTGTGAACAAACCATTATTGAGCAACCAAGGCAAATTTAACCAAAGACTAATTAAAATAAAAGACCAGAAAAAAACGAAAACAAAAACAAAATGACAGCATTAGAAAAAGCACCCTCTCTAGGAGCTGTAAGCCCTCAGCAGAAGCAGAAAAGCAGTCCTTTTCATGGACAAGCGTGCTGGCAGTCCATTCCAAAAGCAAACTGTGGAAGTGAAGGTTTTGGAATAGACTATGTCTTAAATGAATGATGAAAACAGAGGATAGAATGTCTGGTTGAGCTGAGAATCACCATGAGGTTGTTACTTTCAAAAATCACTGATTGAATATTCGCTGATAACAAAGAACACTGACAATCTATGAAAACGTGAGGGACAATGTCCTTGTACACTGAATTTCCTTAGAAAGAATTAAAGAGGCAGGGCAAGGACAACTTGCAGTTTCAGATGCTCAGCAGCACTGAAAGGGTCTGTATCCCATGTATCACCATCAGTGTCCTCATGAGCCAGGTACTCACACTCATGTCGAAAGGGTTCAATCAAAAAACACGACGTGTGGACAGTACAAGAAAGTGGAGGCATGCATCGTGCCGCCTGCAAAGTCTGGAAGCCCTTATCAAATAGTTAATAACCCAGAGCTGGGATTGGTTGTATCGAATCTGTCACTCATATATGTTTAGCTTTATCTGGAGCTCCAGCACAACCAAAAAAGAAAAGGAGAAAGAAAATAAAACACCCGTAGAAGTAGCTAAGTGTTCAGGATTGCTCATGAGCCTGAAGTATGGTTTAGTAGCATAAATACTTTTTAAAATTCGACATCGGAGTGTCTAAGGTCTTTGTTTAGAAAGAACAGCTAAGTGATTTCACATTGAATACGCTGTTAAAATGTACATACTCTGAAAAAAGAGGAAATGATTAAAAACTCAAGTAATCTGGGACTTGAATATATTTACTCTAGAATATGACACCAGGAAGTATGAGGTTTCATTATTTCTCTGCCCAATTTAATCTTTGCCTAGAGCTGCTCTCAAATTGCATGTAGTGTATGTCTGCATGTATAGAACAGAAAAAAAAAATTGTGTGCAGCCGCATCAATAAAATGGTAAATGTTAAAAGACTTTCAACTTTAAAAAAAGAAATTTCTAAGGAGCAAGACATCGTGATTTCTCGGGGTGTTCACAGCGATTCAATTTCCCTGCAAATCTTACTGTGTAAGTTTTCTGCCCTGTTTTGGCTTTCGTTTAGGTCTCTACAAAGATCCATAGTGTTCCAACCTCTCTTTACAATGTCGTTTCTCTCAGTTTCCCTTCCCTCCCAGGTCCTGGCAAAGGACACTATGAACTCTCTTTCTCAGAGTCCAAAAGTTTGCATTGGCACAGAGTCCAGTGTGGGGGAGGTTTTCTGCTTTAAAAAATAAATCATGAAATTAATATAAACTGCAAGACACCCTGGAGGTGTTGGATAATGATGTGACTCCCAGGGAAATCATCAGCAAAAACCCATAATGTGTTTAAGCCCCAAGCTCCCCAGTGCTTTAAGTGGTCGAGCTGTCTAAAGAAATGACCCATTCTGCTGTCTCTGGGTGGAATCTCCTGAGTAATGCCTGTCTCCTAGGTGGATTGCTTTTTAAAAGTTAGAGGTGGATATTTCAGATGCTTACTGCTATGACAGAAACGCCAGCTGCTGTGCTATTCGGCTTGGGGCCTGTGTTGAAATGCTTCTTTATCTTTCCAGCTACTGACAGCTGATGTTCATTTTCTGGGAGGCCGTCATCCTGGGGAAAAAAAAGAAAAGAAATGAAAAAGGAGAAAAAGAAAAAAATGAGATATGTGGAAAACGAGGCCAAGATCTTCTAGTAACAGGCAGTGATCTTAAAGTTCACAAGATTGCAGAAATAAACCGACCAATGTCTTCTCATTACACACTGTTGTTGGAAGCACGGCTCCAAGATCTCATTCATTTCCACATCAGCCCTAACACTAATTTGCTGTGTCCTTTGACCCTCAGAGTTTTGTCCCTAAATAACATTTTTTTACTTCTGTTTTTGGTTTCTAATAAAATCGATTTCAGCCATGGCTCTAGGAACATATATCCAAGAGCAAGTTAATCTGGGCAACCAAAAAAAAAAATCAATGTAAACATCTGCTTTATTTTTCTGACCCAAGAGTTTTATCTTCTTATCCCTATCCCATCATTTGGACCCATAACCAAGGAAGCTGACAGACTTGGGCTCCTGCAAGAGACTGTAAATACATTCGGGCTGGTTCCACAGCTACTCAATGGGCCATTCTATAATCCCAGACAACCCACCAGGCAGAAAGTCCTTCCTTAAATTTCAAATCCTCCTTGCTGCTTCAAATCATCAGTTATTATGACAAACTTCACATTGGAGCTCATTGTAACTAAGGCTTCTCTGCTCTCCACCAGAGCGGTCTGCGATGGAGGCTGGACAGCTTGCTCTCCTCTGCTTAATACTGTTAGAATAACAATCCCAGTCACAAGTATGTGCCATCACTTGCTAATTTGTGATGAAAAGGCTGCACGATCCTTGGAGACAGAGGCTGTGTTTTGTTCACTATAGAACCCCCAAGTCTTAACATAATGCTTTGGCACATAGTAGATGCTTAATAAATATTTGTGGAATAAATGAATGAATGGATAATAAAGTGTTTGTTACTATCTGTTAAAACCAAAATTCCTGGCAAGACTTCAATGTCATTCATCATTTTCCTCCTCTCCCTCCTCTCCATCATTTTGCATGTAGTTTCTTGGCTCCACCCAGGAAAATAAATTTGCTGCTTCCCAAGCACAACATGCTTGCCTTTTGCATAACCTGGACTCTCCACATGGGCTTTACTCCTTTCAGCATTTGGCTGTTCATTTATTCAGCCAATAGTAACTGCATGTCTGCAGTGGACCAGGCACTATAGTAAGAGGTGGGGAAATGCGGGTGAGCAAAAATAGGTGTGGGCTTTGCTCTTTTGCATGTTGACATCCCTCTTTTTCTTCAAAACTTGGGTCCAAGTCACCTATTCCGAAACATTGTTCCCCTATTAGGCAAATCCATTTTAATGGTGCTTCTAGAAACTGCTAATGTTCTTTCATTACACATAGTTGTACTTTTTATATTCTTTTTGATGTTAGGTGATCTTGTGTGTGTGTGTGTATTATATATATATATATACATATACATATACATATATATATATACATATATATATATATATTCCTGCTCTTTTGTACCATATCTTCTGTAACATTTAACATAAGCTCTACATACTGGGTACCCAATCTATGATATTCTTAGACTGATTTATTAATGGCTAGAAGAAGGAACAATTATTATGCTTATTAAGTCACATCTGAAACCAAATCTGGAGGAAGGCAGCTTTCCAATGCTGCAGAGTAGATTCAAAAAATTTTTTAAAAATTTGGTTTTGTGGAAAGAGTCAGAAATAAAGTGAAGGTCAATTGGGGTAACAGTGGAATGATACTTGGGGAAGGAACAGAAACAGGGACATATGAAGTGCCTACTACATCTGGGGTACGTCAGGGATGGCAGGGGGTGGGGGAAGAAATGATCTGTGCCCACCAGGACCTGTGGATTAATTGGGAGATAAAGTATGCACACACATTGTCAAATAATACAACAGGTCAACAAGGTGAAGAACCGTCAGAAGGCAGTGTGGCCTCATGGCTCAGCTGGGAACACGAAAGGAGTTCAGAGGAGAAGGCACACATTTTCAGATGTGAACAGTCAGCACAGGCTTTATGAGGAATATGGGGTTCGACCTAGTCTCTAATGATGGGGAGCATATTAACGGGAGGAGGCGGGAAAGTGAGGTTGCATGTACAGATCTGTGAGTGGGAAGCCAGAAGGCATGTTTGCCAAACAGTGAGTCAACCAGTTTATCTCTGATTAAGAATTTATGTGGGAGAGTCATGGCAGAGAAAGATGAGAGAACAGGAAAAGACTGGCCACCAACGAACATAAAAAAGATCCGAAGATTTAAGCCTTAGTCTCGATTAGGAATAAAGCAATGCTTTTCAGGAAGAAGGGTGTAAGTGTAGACAGTGAAGGACTGCCGCCCTTCACGCAGACATTTTTATAGTATTTGTATACTACCCAGTTCTCGACTCTACCAGTGGAAGAGAAGTTGGGTGATAATCACAAAGAATTAGGATTATGCAGTCCAGAGACTGAAGCACAAGGGTGAATTCAATGGTGTACGTAAAACATTTTTTTTAAAAATAGTGGATGGAACAACAGGCCCTTGGAATCTAAGTTAGAATTTTGGGAGTACTTAAATATTTGACAAGGGATGAAATGATGCGCCTTTACTGAAAGTTTTACAAATACTAGTATCATATGTCTGGCACAGTCTGGGGTTCTGCCTGAAGGAAAGGGGGCAACCTGCCACAGTGGTGCCCCACTGGGCCCCATCCCCAAGATTGCAGATGTACTCCTGTCATCTCTTAATAGAGGTCCCGGCTACCTCAGACAGAGGGATTTGTATGTACTTTAGGTTACAAAGAAACAAATCTAAGGGAGTTAAAAGAGAAAGGCAGGGAGAGGAAGGTGACACAAGTTTTAACTGTTATGCGGCCCTGTGCTAATGATTTACATATATGATCTCCCCAATCCTCAGATTACTCTCTACAATATGCCTTATTAGTCTCATTTTTAAGATGAGCAAACTGAAGCTCAGCAAGGTCAAGTAATTTGTTCAATCTCACACAGCCAGAGCACGGCTGAGTCAGGACTGTACTGGGCCTGAAACTTCTGTGCTTCCCACGACACCACATTGCATCAGCCAAGGGCGTTCATCAGCATGGCATCTGTGACAAAAGGGCTCCCTAAGTGTTACATGGAGGGACTGAGTGGGTCTTCTTTTCCGTGATGAAAGTGGCACAATAGTGAGGAGAGAGGAGGATAGAATTAGGAGCTGAAAAAAACAGACTATTTGGACAGGCCTGAATGGAGCCTGGAAAGCATTTGGATGGAGGTCAGGAAAAGGGATAATGAGCACTTCAGGGGACCCAGTGGAATGGAGCTAAGAAATGTCTATGAGTGTGTCAAGGAGAGGCTGGGTGTCCACTAGGCTGCGATGTGGCAAGATGACCCAGGAGGGCCAGGGCTCTCAAATCCTCCGGGGAGCAGGTGGTGCTAGAAGACCTGGCTGACTCGGAATGACAGGAAGTGGCACTGGGTCACAGTGTGGCCCTGTGATCAGCACAGGCTGTTTAACAGCCTGGGTGCAGATATAGAGAAAACAAATAGCAGGGATTCCATCAGAGCAGCCCCCACTTGACTTACTGAGGGAGGTTTACCCTTAGCTGTTCAGTCCTGTCTCCTTCTCACTTCCCCAACATCGCCATCTTTACCAGAAAGTTTCCTTTACCTGGGTTTTGCCCCTACCAGCTCTTGAACTAAGAGTTTGTTTTCTCACCACTCTCACAATGGACTCGGTTATCATTTCCCAGCCCTGTCCTGGGCCTAATCACCTGTCAGACCCCTAGCAACTCTTTTAGATGTTGGGGCCCGGGGGCTCAGGCCTCCAGCTTTAAATTCTAGTGAGGTTTCAGCTTCCCTTGGGCTATTAGTTCGTGTTGAAGCAATGAAAGTAGTGAAAGAACCCTCACAAGTTGTCAGAGATGCTTTTGACTTCATAAATCTTAAAATCTTTCAGGATTTGTTCTCAATGAAATATGGTGTCTCAGAGAAGGTAAAACACACACACACACACACACACACACACACACACCACAGCAACTAAAAAGTCTGCAGTTTCCATATCAACTTTGAAGGCTTTCAGCATAATTGGATTAAAAGACATAAACAGCTGGTTTTGCAGAGACCTAATCTGTACCTGAGGCATACAGATTGATGATGGAGATTTAGCTAATTTACTGTCTTGCATCAGTAAAATAAATAGGGCCATTAAAAACATACATTTTTACATACACATCTTTATTGCCATTATTTTGAATAGATTATGTGCCAAAAATGTGCTATGAATTTTCTAAACGTGACAAACCTGGAAGTATGTTACAAATAGTCATAGTATTATTACCATACGTCCTGGTATGTAGTTTCTGGGAGTAGTTTCTGGTTTGACACAGGCTGGTTGTGGTTTGAGGTTAGTGGTTTCTGATTTAGAAATTCCCATCCACCACTTGGCAGAGCATTGCAACTGACAAGAACAAAATTAGTTTGCAAAATGGAAAATGAACTCTCACAGCTGTCGGTTAGAGACCTAGCCTCCTGGTCTCCATTTCTCTAGCGGATGTTGGAGAGGAGGTGTGGGAGGGATGTGGGGCTTGGACGTGAAGTCGCTTAGTGGAATAAGTTCCCCCCTTTCCTCAGGGAGACCATTCCAGAGGTCATGCTTCAGAAAATCCTCCTCCCTCATGGAGTTTTGTTTTTGGATCATGGATCTGGTTTTCAGTCTACTCATTGCCAGACTCTATTATTAATATCTGTAAATTTATGAGAAACATGGCAGTCTTGAGTATTTTACCACCAGAATATTCCGATTTAGTTTTAAACAATCCCAAATGCATTAGAATACTCTTCAATAGCAGTTACATTTCATATCCCAGTGTGCGGCCCCTCGACTCGTGTTAACCATCCCCAGCTGTACTGCACCCCCGGACTTTTGACTCCCTTCAGCTTGGCCCTATGCATTCTCTATGTCTACAATTCACACTGCACCTTGCGGTGAAAATGTGAAGCAAATTAAGATCTACCTTGGAGAAAGGAGAGGATAAGCTGCCCAATGGGAAAGTGGAAATCCAAGTCATCATTCTCAATTTATGAATACAGGTAAGTGGTTTTATTTATTATTATGGTATCACTGGGGTTCTCTTACTTTCTAACAAATTCTGCCAGCACCATAAGATGAATGTTTATATATTTTTGTGTGGGTAGGGCTGATCTGTATTAGCATGGGATATCTTGGTAGATTATTCAGGCTCTTGATTTTTCTTCTTTTTCTTGTTCTTTATTCATTTTGAATATTTTAGCTTAGTAGTATCTTTTCAAAAGAGTAGGTTGGTGAGATAAAGGAGGCAAATTAAAACTGAAAGGCCAGGAAGGTGAAAGGAAGTCTTGAATCAGCTAAATAACTACACTTGACTTCTTGAAACCAGTCCTTTCCACTAGGACAGAGGTTTTCAATCTTTGTCTCAAATTATGAACACCTGGGAGCTTTTAAAATTTCCAATGCTCAGATCCCAGTGCAGATCAGTTAAATCAGAATCTCTAGGGGCAAAACCCTGGCGTCAGACCTTGTGCTAGAGCCTCCAATGAGCTTCATGCTAGAGACTTCTTGCAGCCTCAGTTTCCTCATTAGGAACATTAGCAAAATACTTGGAGTTAAAAAAAAGATTCATAGAACTAATGCATTGAGATGGACCTTCATCCTAGAGTATCAGAAAATAGCATGGGATAAGGTAGGCCAACGCTTTGAAAATAAAATTGTAAAAATAGTAATATATTTGAAATATTAAAATAGTAATAATTTAACCCTAATTATGAATCAACTTTCCCCCCAATCACAGGAACGATCAAGATATATTATTGCCTTTTCCATTCTCATATTATATGTGCCTAAATCATATGGTTCTCTACTAGGTGAGTAATAAGGTACATCAACTTAGCTTGGACAATTCCTGTTGGTATTTTGCAGTTATGTTAAAGGAAAGAACTGTGATATTTGAGAACACAACAGAGCTGATAATGTACAATAACTACATGGAGCTTGGAGCATACAAACAGGATCATTTTTTCTGGTGGGGGATGAGGGAGTTTTCCTCTGTAATCAAGCTTCCTGTATACCAACATTGATCACAATTTGCATCTCAGCAGCACGTAGCAATGGATGGTACAGTTGTTACCTCTCTCAGACTCAAATATATACCAAGTACCTATGGAGTACTAGTGCTTAAGAGTATCCTCTCAAGCCCTTCAAAAATACAATCCTATTTCCAACCTCATGATCTTGTGAGAGAGTGATTCTATTATCTCCATTTCACAGGCTAAAAACAGTAACCATCCCAAGGTGACACAGGCAGGTGAGCTGGTGCTCCTTTCGGGGTGTATATTCCTCCCCTAGACTCTTGGATACACACTGATGCTACCTTTGTCCATCTGGCTTGCTGGAACCATCCAATGAGAGGCCACGCTTATGACCCTTCTGCTAACAGAGCAGCGGTTCAGGTCACTAAGGAGCATGGAGGGATTTGCACCCAGGGTGTATGAAAAATAAATGTGAGCCCAGAGGAAGCTCCTGAGGTACGGTTAAAACAAGTGGCTTTTGCTGACTAGATTTTTCAGTTCTATTGCCCTTGTGCTCTACACTGTTTCATGAGAGAGCGCCAGGTGAAAAGGTCATTGTGTAAGCAACAGAGAAAATGAGGATAAATGAGAGCACAGGAGGAGCTTTCTGATGGCTTCCTTAGGGCTCATATAATTATTCTTACTTTGCCCCCTCGGTGGTGGATCAGATATAATTTGATCACCAAATGCGAAATGTCTTGTTAAACGGACTTCCTTTAAAATTCGTAATTTATTTATTTTGATTGTGTGGTTGTTCATTTGTTGCACTCAGAGACCCCAACAAATACTACATGCTGGCCATGAAAGCTTATATACGTACTTTTTCATGTATTATTTCGAGACAAAGAAAAGAATTAGTTTTCTGATTTAGTTACTACATAAATATAAGTTATTCAAAAGTTAAGCAAGCAGTTTATACATTAAGTTTTTAAAAGTTTTTTGCTAGAATCAATATATATTTGTCCCTTAGATGCTAAGGTCTGTTAGAATTACACAAAGGGTAATTTTTAGTTGTAAATCTCTTAGCTCCTTAAATGTTGTCCTTGCTTTTAGTAAATGCTGTTAGGGAACATGAGAGGGAAAACTGAAATGACAGCAGAAGTCCCAGTTCCAGAGGGAGTTGTGGATCCTAATTGTCAGCCAAGTGGGACCATGTGTAAAATGTGCACAAAGCACAAAGGTTGAGACGGCAGAAGTTTCTGCTGAGACGTGTATATGCTGCCCTAGGAATGCGAGCAACCTAGGGGCAGCCAAAGTCTTAATTTTGTTTCTTTATCCCACTGAGTTGGGATATATTGATGTAGGGTCATTTGGTTTGGAACCAGGGCAAGGGCTTCTGTGTTTTCAATAGCATTTCAGCCTCCTTGCATATATAGACAAAATTTGCTCCAAGTCATGTAGTTATCTTGTAGCATATATCCACCTCCTGCTGGAGCTGGCTCTGCTGGACATTTTCTCAGCTGCCTCCAGGGTGGCGCTCTGGTTTCTCCTCCTCCAGGAAGCCTTCCATGTCATGCTCTGCAAAAAAGGCTGTCGGGGGGGGGGTAGTCCTTCCCCCACTGCCATGGGATTATCTGAGCTCCTGAAGGGCGGGAGTGGCAGGCAGTGGTGCCATGATGAAAATGTATTTAAAAACCTAAAATGAATCTATGAATCTCTTTCTTCTATGTCTCTGTGAGCCTGCAAAGGTCACATTTCAAATTCAGCTTTCCTGGTTTATTATGTGTGGTCACACTTTCAGTCTTTCCAGGGCTGACATGGAATTTGACCATTTGTGGACCATGGGCTTTTAATTAGTATGTAGATCACAGGACCTACGGCTACCACAGAGAAAGCCTGTTTGTGCCTCTTCTACCCTGCACATCTAAGGGAAAGGTGCCATGCATGACCTACGTAAGTTACTGTGGAAAGGTTGCTAACTTGTATGAACCATCATCGTAATGATGACAATGCACACATGTACTTTTTCGTGATATTCACAGTGCTTTCATCTACAAAAAAGGGAGGGTAGATGTAGATGCATAGGATTTTAAAGCAAATGGACTTGGAGTGTGCATACCTGGCTGCAAATTTTGGCTCAGTTACGAACTTAGCTACTTCAGACAAGTCACCCCACCATAACCTCAGTCTCTTCATCTATAAAGTGGGTACAATCATATCCACCCTACATAGCTTGCAGGTTTATTACTAAGCTTATATGAGGTGCTTCCTAATCTTCCTCACTTCATAGAAAAGGATACCTTTGTTGAGCACCCTGGGGTAAAGGCAAACATTGTGAGGCTGGAGGTGACCACTTGGACTCTGGCTGTCCTGCCTGACTATGCCAAGGGCTGAGAGGACTAATATCTTTCTATATTTGTACACCAACTAGGAAGCTCTGCCATATGAAAATGTTTAAAACAAACCTGAGCTGTGTATCTATACACGCTCACATTCACATACATTCTCCTGTCACATACTCATAACCTTCCAGTGGGGTGTAAGCAACCAGGCTCAGACGTGAAAGTGCCAGAACCCAGGCCCACGGCCATCGAGAGGTAGACCGTGAACAAGACCCCAAGCTCGTGTCACCTCAGATGTAGCTTGTCTCAAACCTGCGCTTTCAATCATACCTTATCCTCAATAATTAGTTATTGGAAAAAATTACTTGGCTAATTGCCAAGGTGATAATTCAGAGACGTGACACATTTTGTTGCCTTTGACTTACAGCCACACCATTCAAAGCAGTAGGGAGGCTGGCCAAATTCCTATCGATTTTATACTTGTCCCTGTCTATGTCCATGTCTGTATCTATACCCAAAGCTACCTGTCTTCTATTCTGGCAGCAAGAACTATGAGACCTAGTTATGGAGCTCCCACTCACAACAGTGGGGGTTATACCTAGGTTACAGCTGTTGGGAGGAACATAATCCCTTAGTGTATGTCAGGTGCTTAAAATAGTTCTGGGCAGACTCTAAGTTAGGCACACTGTAAGTATTAATTATTATTATTAGTCAAAACAAATCTTACCAACAGTCATAGGGTCAACAAATAATTACTCTGCTCTGAAGAATTCTTTCATAGCTAAAGAAATATCATTGAACCCTTGCACTCACATAAAGGCAGTGGCATCTGGGAGCTGTTAGAAATTCAAAGCCTCACATCTCCTACATTAGAATCTGCATTTTTTTAACAAGACCCCCAGGTGATTTGTGAGCACATGCAAGTTTGAGAAGTGCTGCAAGAGAGGGCTCTAGGGCTTACACAGAGACCCTTGGGTCGCTTGTATTTTGGGCAGAAATGATGCAAAAGCAGTACTAACTCAGAAAATCCGCTCTATTTTATTGATGCATTCAGCCCTAATCTGGACCACAGAATGTAGGTTACAGGGAGGGAGGTAGCAACCATGTCACCTCTCTGGTAGAAGTCAGTCCCACCTGAATCAGATGAAATGCTTTGTGCAACGGACCATGAGAACACACGTCAGCTCGGACACATCATGGCCCTGGTGAAACAAGTCTGGGATTGCATAACTGTTCTGCCACGTTTTCAGGAGAGGAACAAACACAAACACATTTTAAAAAGGAGGCGACATGACTAGGGAATCTGCAATTTTATAAAGAAATGTTAGGAGAAAGTATAGGGAAAGGAGGACATCACTTACGTTCACCCAGGGATGCTCAAGGACCTGTAGGGCTGAAAATCGCTCATTAACGTCCACCAGCAGCATCATGGTGATGAGCTCCTGTGAAAGGGAAAATTCAATTCCATTTGTCTCACTTTCAAGGTCAAAATCTAGCTGTTTTCAAATGCAGAAGTTCTCTTTTAGTTTGGAAAAGCTCTAAATCTTAAATATATCAACTCAACTTACCTACAGCTACTTAACATCTTTACAAGTTAAAGGAAAGGTGAATATTTGGAATTAAAAATGTATGGCTTGTAGTTGATAGAAAAAATAAATTAATGTTGAAATCAATGTCATACGAATATTTTCTGGTAAAAAAGAAATAAATACATAGGTTACAGAATCAAAATCCCTTTCTTTTTTGTCTAGGATTTTGCACTTTAAAGACAGATTTGTAAATTAATATTAAATTAATATAGAAATCACATTTTAAAAACACTATAACTAAATTTTCACTTTGGCAGCTGAAAGGAAAAATGTGCTTTTTTCCTCCTAACTGCAAGATGGAATATTTAAGTTTGAAAGAAAGGACTAAGAAAAGACATAGAATTGCCAACATTTAGTTAGCAAAATAGAAACTATTTTTTAGTAGGCCAAGACTTCTAAGGAAATCTGTTAAAATTGCTTCAAAAATTTCCAGATTGATCAATACAAATAAACTAGAACTATTAAAAGGTAAATGATTTAATAGTTTTGAAATTAATAAAACTTCCCCATAAGATCAAATTGATTTGGACCAGGAAAGTACAGCTTGGTGAATTTGTCATACATTTGTCCATTTTGGATTGGAAGTTCCCATGTAACAAAATGGTTAGATATGTGGCTTCCAGTTCCTTACATTCACAGGCTGGGTACCACTCTGTGACAGGGATGATTTATTTCCACTGATGTAGACATGTGCCTTCATTTTCTAACATGGGCCAGGACTTATTAAAGCAACTACTGCACGCAATGCTCTTTGCCAAGTGCCACAGGGGTGTAAGAGATGGTCCTGTCAGTGACTTCCACTGCTCATGTTTATGGAGTGATGGCATGTTATGGAGAGAGTTGGACAGGTTCCTGAAGAGCCTGCTCACAGGTGAAATCACCCCCATATCCACCTCTGCAGCTGTATCATCCCATCTCCATTTACCTTTGTGTCTTCCCTCTGACACTTCTCTTATTTCCCCACATTTTCTTAGGTCTAGAGGTAGATTCCTGGACAGTTGAGAGACTTGGGGCAAATATGCATCATTTTCTATGGAAAGTGGCCAGGCCTGAGGAGTCAGATTTTAAATTGAACTCATCCTCAGGACACAGCTAAAGGAAAGTTATATACATTGAATAATCAAAAGAAAATTACTTCTCAACATCAATTTTCCAAAATAAGTCAACGTTTAGAGACATAAATTTAAGGGATCAATTAAAATGTTTTTCTTTTTTTTAAAATATCAAGGTCTACTAATGTATTAGAGTAAGGTTTTTATCATTTTCTTAGAGGTTGATCTTTTAGTTTAATGGGACAAAACTATATGCCTTTTTCCCCTCTTCTTCTAAATGCTGGTTGTCTTTCAAGGTCCAAGTTAAATCATAGTTTCCCCATGGTGTCTTTCTTGATCATTTCAACCCATGTTGAGCTTTCTCCATTTTGATTAATTAACTAATTGTTTTATTCATTCACTCATTCGTTTATTCATTCAGTATATATTGAGCACCAGTTATGTACTGGCTTCTATGATGCAGCAAATGAACAAAATAAACAAAAATCCTTGTCATGACGGAATTTGCATTCCAGTAGGGAGGGTCAGAAAATAAACTACAGAAATAAATGTAGTTAGATATATGTATATATCTATCTAGATAGGTGGGCAGATATAGAAAAGTAGTTAGATGGTATACCAGATGGACATAAGGATGTAAGTGTTATGGAGAGAAATAAAGCAGAAAAGGGAAGATAAGATGAGCCGGGTAGGGTTTAAGAGTTGTAATAGGAAACAAGGTGGTCCGGAAAAGCTTCACTGAGAAGATGAGATTAAGTCAAGACCTAAAAGAGGTGAAGCAATAAGCTATGCAGAAACCTAAGGTAGGCTAAAGCCTGGTGTGGGTTAGGCATGGCAAGAAGCCATAGAAACGTAAATGGGGTGACAACAGGGATAGAGGAAGCCAGGAAAGCAGAGGTACTTGCTAAGTTGGGATGACTACTTACAGATGACTTGATGACTGTGAACTCTTAGAAAAACCTAGCAATTACAACTAAAATGTGTACAGAAATCATATTTACAGTATCACTAGTCTCTTTGCACACACGAGTCAGAATCAATAATTCCATTAATACACATAGGCCATAAGGAAAAGGAAGGTACTAGAAACCTACCTTTGCAGAATCGGAAACATTATCCCAGTATGGAGAAGGAAAATCCACTTGACCCATCAAAATCTGATCAAAAAGCACCTCCTGGTCATCACCACTTCTGTTTAGATGCATGACAACAATAAGGAAAAAACAGAACTAAAATGTCAACTCAGGGTATATCACTTCATTCTTATGCACTAGAGCCCTTCCTTTCCCTGTAAATGTGTAAAATGTGTGTTTGTGTTTAAGCAATTTAAAATGTCTATATGAAACAGTTTTGGTAAAGTAAGAAAGAATGAGCTTTTAAATTATATGAAGAAGATGTATGGAAGGCAAGTAAATTAGCATGTACAACATAAAAAATATAACAGGCATTCTAAGTTCTTATTATGGTCTATCCCTGCTGCAGGCTCCTTTGTGAAAGAAGGCCGGATGGATCACTCAGAGAATAGAGACATGCTTTGTTGGTGCTAAATAAAAAATTGCTGCCATACCCACGGAATGGAGGGAAACCACACAGCAGGATGTAAGTGATTACACCAGCTGCCCAGATGTCCACCTTGAGGCCATATCTGAAAAAGGAAGTGACGTTAGAGTTAGCAAAGTCAGGCCAGGACTAACTGTGGGACACAGTTAATAATAGATGACTCATCTATTCTAACCCCAAAACCAAACCAGACAAAATTAAAAACCCCACAACAAAGAGTAAACTAAAACCCACCAGCCAGAATTCAAGGAAAGAATGATAATAATAATAATAATAATAATAATAATAATAATAAGCCACATGAACAAAAATTACCAAAGTAATGCATGGCTAGGCTCATATCCAAATATTAGTTAATGAAGGGCTTCAGCATTATATTATAGTCATATCAATTTTAAGACAGGAATGGACCCTTGAGGCTATCTAACTCCCTAAATTTAGAAATAATAATTACATATAGGACATTTTCCATTTATAAAGCACTAACATACATTACTTTATTTTGTTTTCCCAACAACTCTGTAAGTTTTACAAGATAAGTCTTATTGCTTAATTTACAGGAGAGAAAACTGAGGTTGAGAAGGGGTAAATAATTTTGCTCAAGACCACACAATTAGTCAGTGGCAGAGCTGGGTTCCAACCAGTCTTCAAGAGCTCAACAAATCCTCTTTCTAGCCCACACCACTCCCTCCCAGCAGGAGTCAGAGGACTCACAGTAGAAAACCAAGCTGTGCCTTAAGTCCCACCCACTGAGGGAGATCAGGCAAGGCTCTAGATGTGGTCTAAATTTGATGAATGGAAAAGTCCTCATTACCTCACATTTCACCTTAGGGATTTCCCTATTGGGATTCCCGTCTCATCTGTTCTGTATTTCTGCCTTTCTGGTCTATGGGACAAGCAGAAAAACTATTACCAACTGGTCACAGTGGGTGCACCCTAGACCATGAGCTGGTTTGGTGCTGCTGATGGGAAGAAAAGGCGGGGCTGTGTCCCTTTGCGCCCCGTCTTCCCTAATCCTTTCATTTAAGGATCATGCTTCAGAGTCCTGTCTATGGTCCTTGGTAAGAAATAGGGCTCTTTATGAAAAGAGCCTTTTACTCACACAGACCTGAGGTCAAATGCTGACCCATTACTATCTAGTCGTGAGCTTACATGATATTCAGTCATCAGAGTCTGAATTTATTCATATGCCAAATGGAAATCATACCATCTACTAGAAGAGTAAGAATTAAGTAAAGGAGCTTAGGGTCTGGCACATAGTAGGTCCTTAGTAAATATTAGGCCAACCCACCTTCTCCCCCAATTCCAGATATTTTCATTCATCTTATACTGCTGTACACAGAAACCAGCCAATTCCCAGCTGCCGTCTGACGCCTATGGAGGTTTGTGCTCTGCAGATAATCAATGGATTGCCAAGAGGGCCAAAATGGAACCAAGATTGGAAACCAAGGCCAGCTGAGAGAAATAACTACAGGAGGCTGTAATCACTGCACACAGCAGTGTCTGCTTCTCTTATCTTCAAAAGCTAGTAAATTACCATCACTTTTAGTCAGAACATTTTTTACTCAGGGGTTAATAACTGTTGTTCTACCTTTAACAAAGGCCAAACGGAAGCCTTAAACAAGATTGCAGTAATTGGCAACTTGCTTGGAAAAACAGAGAAAATGGCTCCCACTTTAAAGTAAAAAAAAAGTGAAAGAAATCTGATAGCTAATTCTGTCTGGATGGGACATAGCAGTCCTGTTTCTCCTATTCTTGAAACAGAATAGTTCTTTTGCAAGCACAGCACTTCCATAAACACACAGAAAACACTTACCCGGTCTCTGCAATGATTTCTGGAGCCACGTATGTTGGGGTGCCACAGACAGTGTACAGGGGGCCATCCACAATGGTGGCCAGTCCAAAGTCACCCAGCTTCAGTGATTTGCTGCCATCTTGGTGTTCATACACCTAAAGTGAAAGTGAAAAGTAAAATCACCTTAACCACAAGCTCAGAAGCTCTTTCCCGAAGAAATGAGGGGCATTGTGGTTTAAATTTAATGTATTTAATCACAAAAACATCAGGCAATTATGCAAGGATATACATACAAGGATACCTTTCTTTAGATTACTGCAGAATTGGAAACATGGTGAACAGCCAGCAAATGGAAATCTGTTAAATAAATTATGGTACATTTATACAATGGGCTGCTCCATGACCTGTTAAAATGGGGATGTGGGTTTGTATTTATCGAAGTGAATTATGTTTGGAAGTGAGGACAGCAGGTTTCAGATTGGTTTGCATAAAATGTCTATTAAGGAAAAATGTGCACAAAAAAATGTCTGAGAGAGCATGGTATGTCTGTCTCTGGGTGGTAGAATTATGGGAGATTTTTTTTCGTTTTGCTAATCTGTATTTGATGTTTATACAATTAAAACTGATTTGCATAATACAATGAAATATAGAAAGTCTCTAGTGCAGTATCTTCAATTTCTGAAAATGTTTACCTCTTCATTTAAAAATGCAGTTCTTTAGTAACTGAACAAAACAAATCTACATGTATGTTAAAATACTTTATATTTTAAAATAAATAATTGAAAGGGATATTAACATTTCATTTCACCTGTGGCAATTTGGAAAGATTTATCAGGTGCAGAGTCAGCATTCTGTCCAGGTTCCTTACTAAGGAAGTAAAAGTCTCCAGTCTTTCAGCCAACAAATCAAGAAAAGGATGCATGTGACCGAAGGCAAATATTTATGCTGCTTTAATTCTAGCCCAGGATCAAACCAAATGGATCTGCTCTAAAAAGTATCCCCAACAACTTCTATTATTTCAAAGAAAAGATCAAAGACCATTCAGAATTCTAATTCTGTGCCCTCCATTGGAATCAATAAGATAAAGGAAAGAACCACAGACAAAGGCTAGTATTCCCAGCCAAGGCAGTCACCAGGAGATGCCTCAAGGAAGTGACGGTTTTCCATGTACATCAAAATAACTCTGCCAGCAAGTTGAGGCCTCCATGTTCCTCCGTGATTGCTCTATGATCATTTGTATTTGCTACAGCACTTTGAACTTCCTACAAGCAAGTCACATCTCCACACATCAGGAGCATGCCACCACTCACACATGTGTGCCTTCCAGTGGAAAAGGTAAATGAACTCATTTCCCTGCAGCACAAAGCGCCTATGTTTGGCTGGCTAAGCTGCAGTCTCTGCAAGGAGCATCTGAATCTAACTGTTTTGGATCATTTGGATCTGCAGGCAAATCCCCCTCTCTGGTGAGACTGTCTTTTCTGGGCAGAAAATATTCTTTTATATTTTCTCCACAATCAGAACATGGAGTCTTCTCCCTGAGGACTTGACCAAAGTCAAGTTTGGGCTGCCCCCTGGCAGGTGTCCAGGCTTGTGGGGCCACCTGCACTCGGGGTGTTAGGGTGAAGACGGCCATATGTCCCTCACAGGTGTGGCTTTGCCCACGTGTCATCTGGTGTGAACACTGTCTTCCCTACTATAATGAAGCAAAGCAGCTGTTCAGGCCTGGTCAGCATGAATAAGTTTGAGTTTAAAGTGTCAGACTTCAAGGTATCAGAGCTGCAAAGTACAACATCATCCGCAGCCTAAATGTTCTCAGGCAAAAGAAATTCCTAAGTTGTAGTCTCAGCATGTCAGCCATCCTGGTCATCCAAATGAAAAGCAAATGTTTTTCATGAAAAGAAATCTGAGATGGAAACATCTAGTAGATCATCTAGTTTATTTCCGAGACAGAGCCGAATTGTTTACTTCCTTAATTCCATTTTGTTACCGATAACCTTTCTAAAATGCAAAGTAATCTCTTGCTTTAATGTTTGGTTAGGTCCCAACATTCATGGGGCGTGTTTTGTAAGACTGCGCAGATTTCAATTTTCTTTCTTTTTTTTTTATTGGGGAATTGGGGGTTGGGAACAGTGCTGGGGAATTGGGGGAAGGGGAACAGACAAGTTGCTGTGCTTTTGTTCTTCAGTCTAGTTGTGGAGAACGTTGCTTCACTGGCCCAAGTTGGCACCATCATTGCGCTCTTCCCAGGCGAGGCAGATCAGTCGCCGGCTTCTGGACGGCCGCTNCTTCACTGGCCCAAGTTGGCACCATCATTGCGCTCTTCCCAGGCGAGGCAGATCAGTCGCCGGCTTCTGGACGGCCGCTCACAGCGGCTGCTGGCCGCTCACGCTGGCTGCTAGCTACACATGGTAGCCCATGGAAGCCCACTGCAGCAGAGGCTGCAGCCTACGCCGTCGCCAGCGACTGATAGCAGCCCAGCTCCAGGTTGAGCTGTTGTTCAGCATCTTAGCTGCAGAAGGCAGTGTCACTGGCCCTCATATGTGGGATCCGAACCAGGGCCATCTGGCATCCCAAGCCAGCTCTTAACTAACGCGCCACTCGGCCGGCCCGCAGATTTCAATTTTCACAACTCATTTTATACACGAATTTTGTGGGGGTTTTCTAAATGTACTCTGTATGATCGCCTAATTTTATTCAAATGTTGGACAAAAGCAGATATTGGCAGATCCTGTCATAAGTCACATTTTTGTTCTGAATATGACCATGTAATCCTCTTACACGTAGCAAAGGTTTTATTTTTCAACATCTACGTTCTGGTAGGAATTCTATTTCACATACATGTCAATTATATTTAATATACCGGAGCAATAAAGTTCAAGGTTTCAATGACTAAAAAAAAAGCATTAAAAAAAACCTACCTAAAATAAAGAAAATGAGGACTACCTTAAAGTAATAATATTTCTTAAATAAACCAACACCATTTAAGTAACATACCTAGAATCTATCATTTTGATGTTCTTTTTTTCTCCCTTTAATCACTTCTACAATGTCCTCCATTCCCCCCCTCCCCTTTGTTTCTTTTGCTGTGGAAACCTTATAGTAGTATTTTCACATATCTAAAGAAGTTACAGTGATGCTTATGAGAGACAATAAGAGCTTAGAGACAAAGGCCTAATCCATATAATTGAAAACATTTGTAGACACAAGAACATTAGAAATGCTTCAGCAAAAATGTTTTTGCAGGTGGATAAATGTCCAGGCCTTTGGTTTGAAATTCTGTTGAACCTACTTACTGTCAGGCAGGGCAAGAAACAAGGTTGCTTTGGGTTTTTCTCTGTGAACACTTTGGGAGAAGAATACAGAAGAATATATTCCAGGTTTCCTCTCCTCCAGTGGGAGAGTGCCTCTCCTAAGTGGCATAACGGGCCCTGCTCACAACTGCGGCTCAGCATGAGTGCCTATGCTCACCCTTATCTCCTCCCGAGCCGGTTACAGAGGGCATGAGTGAGGCCATTTTAAAATGTAATTAAACTGTTAAAATCACGGATTGCTAAATACATCTGTTATAAACACAAACGTGTGTGTACACACACACACAACACAAAATCACAAAAATCACAAAATCATCTCCAGAAAGTATTTTCTCACATGGTAGCTACAAATTCACATTGAACTAAGTTTTTAATTAAAAGTTAGGAATCGGAAAAGCTTCTAACAAGTTCACGTTTAAAATGCTGAGTCCTTGGCCTCTATCACTTTCTGACTCTCTTATGACTTTGTTCCTCTGCATGTCTCCTCATCCTGACCATCTTCCAGAAAGGACACTAATAGGCCGCATGTATAGGCTTGGACGGCCTGTTCCAGCAAGTGGGGTTCTGGTATAAGAAGAACTTTTTGCTGTAACTGTATTTTAAAGCCTTCATAAAACATGACCTGCACGTGAGGCGGAAGTACATTCATAGTCAATCAAAGAGTATCCACAGCATGAGATATAATTTAATGTTCATCCCAGACCCTTTAAATACTATAGATGTTCCCCTACATTTTATACACCGAGGGGCCATTAAAGAGACGGGGATTAGTGCAAATTACCCAGTATGTAGTGCTTTCACTGTTTTAACTAAGCAATAAAACTGTGTAATTGTACAACACTAATTGAATGCAGCTACACATAATTGTGGGCTGCCATATGCATCCTATTACCATAAAGACTGTCAGTATTTTGTAAGCTACTCTTGTGATCATTGCAGATGGCTACAGTCAGAGAAGTTGTTCTCTAGGGTTTATTATATGGCTATAAAGACATCCCATGATTTGACAGACTAAATGTGTTAAATGGCAACAATTATGAAAAGGGTTCCAATTAAAAGCTGAAGGCATGCCCTACCAAGAGTAGACACAGTAAAAGGTCAGGTATTAGGTTTTTGGCATGCTGGTATTTTACACAAGATTTTTCTTTTTTAAAGAAGAGTTTTATTTTTGTTTCTTTTTCATTTATTGGAGTTTTTCAGTGGCTATAACTTGCTGAACAGTAGATGTTTGGGCATATGTCTGATTTCCCATGGATTAGAAACTGACACCATTTGGAAAAGTTATTTGAAAAAACAAAGAGTTAATATAAGTCATAAAATGCAGCCGGTGGCCATAAAATAATATGAAAATTCACAGATAACATGAACCCAGTCAAATGGTTTCCGAAATTCCCATAATCGCAAACTAAAAGCTGACTAATGTAACAGATGTGTTGGAACAAACGTATTTCCCAATGGCTGCTGTGAATACAAGGATAAACCTGTTGAAACGCTGGCTAATGAATCATTAGTAACCACTGAAATATTTTTCACAGAGGAGCTCAAGAAGCACTAAAAATTATTTCACCAAATAGAATTGAACAAAAGTGGCATGAAATCGACAAAGCCATGAAAAAAAGTCAATTTACTTTTTAACAAATATGGCACCCCTTTCAAAAGACATTGATTTTCTTCAGGCCACAGTATTATGGTCCTTATGATCCTTTCTAAGGAAAATTGATTATATTTAAATCTTTAATCTTTAAGAAGTAAAATATAACAACATTTATGCAGGGAATTGTTTTGCAAAATGTTCTTTATGCCCCACATAATTTAGAGTTAAACTTCCTGGAAAAGAATTAATT